GCAAAAGTAGACAATTATTTTAAAAATGCATTTGTTTTTTTCGTAATCAGTGGAAAAAAACAAAACATTATTATTAAAAAAACATACACTAAAAATACAAATATTTTACCGTTTTTTCCAACCATCACTATATATATACATTTTTACAAAAAGTTGTTCGTTATTCACCATCTTATTGTCAAAGCTTATATGATAATTGGAAACAAAATGCTTTTACTCAACAACCAAAAATAATTTTAAAATGTTAGTATATTTCTAAATATCAACTATGAAGGGTGCGAGTAAATAATTAAGAAAAATGTTATTGTGAAAATTAAATTTCAAACGGATATTTGGTCCGGAAAAAAATTCTTTCTACGTTTAAAAGTTTCGCAGCGTTCAAAAAAGTTCTTAAAAAACAGCTTTTACAGGATTTTAAAAAGCGTTGAGAAGGTTCAAAAATTTGTCGAGCCATACGCACGCCGCATCATATCTCCTAAAAAAAGTTTATAGATAAATTGTAACTACTTCGAAACTTATTAGTGAATATATAAGTGAAAATTTAAGTTAAAAACTTTAATAAATAATAAATTTTTTGTAAGTTAATTTTGTTTTCGTTTATCTTACTGTTATCAATGTAGCGCACGACTTTTGTTTACTTTAAAAATAAGAACTAATTATTACTTTATTTTTTAATTTAAGGTTTTCTATTTCAAACGAATTTTATCAGCAATTTTTTTGCATATAAAAAAAAACAATTTTAGAAAATAATTGGTATTATTTTTATTATTATTATTATTATTATAATTTAGGCGGTTTGTTAAATTTGAAATTAATCAGTAAATTATAAATCAACATTTTTCTAGTTGCATAACTTATTTATTTTGTTACATAACTTATTTACATTTGTTATTTAACTTTTTTATTATTTAAAATATTTTTTGCAATCGTGTTCACACAATTTTTTTTTTTTTGATTTTTTATTGTTTATAAAATGTCCGCAACTTTTTTTATACAAAAAAAGTATTAAGTCCATAAAAAATACTTCTGCAACAGCCTTTTTTATCCCATATAAATTATCAATATTCTAACGTATTGCTATTCTATAATAGATTTAGAGAGGATTTTTCTGTTAATTTCTCTTTCCTGCTGATGTTTTTTTCCATCTGACAAAGTATAACCTTTGTAACAATCTCGCAACACACGTCGTTTTGTACCAACACTTTTTTAAACATGTCCAAGGGTTATGACAAAAAATAATTTTTTGGTCTGTAGTAGAAATAAGTCAACGTTTTTATAATAAATAATCACAATTATTTCGTTAAATTCGAAAAAAAGTTCCCGCACCAAAACACCTGACGATGTGGTAGGTGCCATATATTACCAAAACACCTAACGACGTGGTAGGTGCCATATATTACCAAAACACCTGACGACGTGGTAGGTGCCATATATTACCAAAACACCTGATGACGTGTAGGTGCCAAAAAATTTATTACCAAAAATATTTCTCTCTAAACTTATATCAAGTTGGATCTCAAAAAAAAAATTTCAAAATAGGTTTAAAAAAATAAAACATTTAAATAACTTTCAGACTTTTAAATTTATTGTTAAAAAAAGAACTAACATTTTAAAACAAAAATACAAAAAAGCACTTTTTAAAACGTTTTTTTTAACTAAACAATCTTTAAAAAGATTACATTAAAAATATATGTGTATTTTTTTTTTTTTTAACATCTTCGCTTCCAACAAGGCTGCAAGCAACCACTAATTAGTGTTGGAAGTTACTTGAAGAGAAAAGATGAAGCTTGTAGAGCAAAATAAAGATTGACAGCTGACTTAAAAGATTGCAAATAATATGAATCAGGAAAGCAAGATGAAGGAAACGAATTCCAAAGAACTGATGTTTGAGGAAAAAAACTAGACGAAAAAACTAGAAAAAGGATGAGACTTAATTGAATGACGAGTAACACGAGAATGAATTTTAGTAGATGGCACAAGTGACGCTAACTCTTTAGAGCAGTGCCCATTATAGTATTTGTAGAAAAGAGAAAGAGAAGCAACATTACGACGATGTGACAGAGGTTGAAAGTTGGCTGCAAGAGCAGTTCCAACTATGTTTACAATGCGTTTTTGCACCTTGCCTAAAAGAGAAAGGGCATTATTAGAAGATCCGCCCCAGATATGGCAACATTATTCCATACAAGGTCGGATTTGAGATTTATAGAGATAGAGAATAGAATCCAGAGTAAGAAAGTGTCGAGCTCGATAAAGAGATGCAACTTTAGCAGATGCTAATTTTGCAACGGATTTGATATAAGGTTTTCAAGAAAGATCAGAAGTGAGAGTTAATCCTAGAAGATGAAGAGTAGATGACTCATCGAGTACATTACCGTTCATAAATATAGGAAGGTCTAAACTATTGCGATAACGATTGGCTGAAAAAAATTGAGTTTTATCTGAATTAAAGTTCACCAGCCACTGTGAGCTCCATGCTGTAGCAGAAGTGAGATCCTTTTCAAGCTCAAATGCCCCCTGCAAGCAATCAGATGGAGTTGGCTTCTTATCGTGACAAGAATAAATGGTAGTATCATCAACGAACAATGCCACCTTAGATGTGAGAATATCTGGAAGATTGTTAATGTAAATATAAAAAAGTATAATTGGTTTAAAATGATTTTTATCTTTACAGTGAAAATTAAACAGTTAATTCAAAACTTATTATAGGATTAGTATTATCCTGACATACTTAAAGTCTACAAATAAAAATAGATTAAAAATCACTATATAAAGTATTATTTTTACGGTTTATGGTTGTTACTAAGTATTTTTAATTGCACTCGAACTATTTTCAAAACCCTTTGATTTTATTACTGATTTGGTAAGGAAAACTTTAATGTTCCAATCAAGGAAACCTTAGACTATTTTGTTATATCACTGCAATAATATGCTTGCAGATAAGTTTATATTGTCATTTTAAATCCCATCGAATTAAACACAAAAAACCGTATAACCAATAACACTATAGTTTACCCAGCGAAATCAATATAGTGTAAACGCAAAATTAGATCACTGAAAAAAAATGACGCAAAAATACTTTAAATCAATGGTGCAAACGCATTTTTTAAGAAAAAAGTTTCAAAATGTGTCAAAAAGTAGGAAATAATGCGTTTTACTAAAATAAATGCAAAAATATAACCATAATTCATTTTTTTTTCAAAAATAAATCCAAGTGTTCCAATTAAGGCGCTGTTCCAATTTTGGCAACTCTTCCCTACTCTACGAATACAGTTATTTTACAGATTCCATACTTTCTGATCTACCCTTATTTGTAATCTTGCAGTCATGTGTGATCTTCCAGTTTTTGAAGCCTTTTCTTCTTGACCATATTCTGCTACAACATTTTGTCGGGACAGCAGAATAAACACACTTTTCATAAGATACTGCTGTACCTACACCAATCATTGAGAAGTATCCTCTGTGCTGGCATGAACCATCTAAACTAACAGCTACATTGACAATTGACGGTTCATCATATTTTACTTATGTTTTTTCTTACGAAAATCTTCTGAGGCTCTTTTTGAATTCTCTTTAGAGTTTTTAATGTAAACAACGTCACGATAACCATGTTTAGTGTATGTGTGTGTGCAAATATATATATATATATATATATATATATATATATATATATATATATATATATATATATATATATATATATATATATATATATATATATATATATATATATATATATATATATATATATATATATATATATATATATATATATATATATATATATATATATCAGGCGCGGATGCAGCATTTTTTGATGTTTTTACTTAACTTCCAGACATGGAGCAAACTCCAAAAATTTATATGTTTATACTTATATCAAATAAGGATGCTTTTCAAAAAATTGCCATGATTGGAGCCTGGGAACAAAAAAGCCCTAAAATTTTAGCTACACCTGCCCCAAACGTGAGAGCAACAAGTTGATAAAATATTTTTTCTAATATTCTCAACCAAGTATATATTCATCGATAAATTTTAAAATTCACACAATAATCTCTTAGTGTTCAACAATTATGATCTCAAACTTTTTAGGGTCGTGGCATCCTTATTTGATTCAAGTATAAACATATAAATTTTTGGAGTTAGCTCCATGTCTGAAAGTTAAGTATCTCAATCATCAAAAAATGCTGGATCCGCGCCTGTATATATATATATATATATATATATATATATATATATATATATATATATATATATATATATATATATATATATATATATATATATATATATATATATATATATATATATATATAAACATATATATATATATATATATATATATATATATATATATATATATATATATATATATATATATATATATATATATATATATATATATATATATATATATATATATATACTTAAAAAAGTATTTTTATTTAAATTCTTAGGTTGCCAAAACCCTCAGTTATTGTTTGTACACTTTGCTACATGTACATCGTATTTAAGTCAGTTTTTATAATGTACATTATAGTGCTGTTATCTATAAATAAATTGGGGTCGATGTAAGCCTCCATTTTTATCAAAAAGTGGTTATCTATATTTTACAGAAACGAATATTAGGTTTCAATTTATGGATATTAGATCAACAATCAACAAGAGTTATTAAGGAACAATTTAGTTTTAAGCACACAAAAAGAGTATATAAATTGGATATGTATTTTTCAGGATATTGCAAGAAATATATCACTAAGCGCTGTTGCTAAAGCGTTTTATTTTTCAGTACCAAATTAGAAATTTGGTAAATTTATTAAATTATCTTTTATAAAAGATAATTTAGGTCTTTTAATTTTTTTTTTTTTTTTGAATTTTTCTTATTATCATAAGAGTAAACATAATAAATGAATGAAAAGTGTTAAAATTAAAGTTTTGAAAAAAATTTTTGTCTGTTTTTTGGGGTATTATTACCTTATGTTATCAGTCTTTTAAAGTACCAGATAAACTGATACATTTAAAAAAGGTATTATCATTTAGTATCAGTAACTTTACTATTTCTGATAGTTAAGAAAAATAGTCATGATTTTGAAGTTGTGGTTAGTAATTATTTTAATTTTAATTTTTTAAGGTAAGTATGATGAAGATGTTTCTGATTACTAATATTATATATATATATATTTATATATATATATATATATATATATATATATATATATATATATATATATATATATATATATATATATATATATATACATATATACATATATATATATATATATAT